GGGCTGATGGCTGTTTGCAGGCTGGCCACAGCCCCTTCAGGGTGGGTGTTCCCGCTGGGGTGCCTGGCTAGCCTGGGTGAAGGGCTGATGGCTGTTTGCAGGCTGGCCACAGCCCCTTCAGGGTGGGTGTTCCCGCTGGGGTGCCTGGCTAGCCTGGGTGAAGGGCTGATGGCTGTTTGCAGGCTGGCCACAGCCCCTTCAGGGTGGGTGTTCCCGCTGGGGTGCCTGGCTAGCCTGGGTGAAGGGCTGATGGCTGTTTGCAGGCTGGCCACAGCCCCTTCAGGGTGGGGTCCCCACTGGGGTGCCTGGCCAGCCTGAGTGAGGGACTAATGGCTGTTTGCAGGCTGGCCACGGCCCCCAGCAACCCAAGCTCCCAGCCCCTCCTTTTTTTCTGTGGTTTTTTTTTTCAGCGCCTTCTTGAGTGGAGGGAAGCAGGTATCTGGAATTTATTTATCTTCTATAATTGAAACTTTGTAACCTTGAGCGTAGGCCAGGGCTGGCCAGGGCGGGCGGGAAGCTTGGCTTCCTCCATCGCTGGGGGCAACCCAAGCCTCCTGCTCACTCCAGCTCCATGGCCACCGCCATCTTAGTTGGCTTAATTTGCATACTTGCTCCTGATTGGCTGGTGGGCGTGGCTTGTGAGCATAGCAGAGTGATGGTTAATTTGCATGTTTCTCTTTTATTAGATAGGATAGTTTTTTTCCCCTTTCAGTACATCTGATCTTCATCTTCCTTTGCATATTCATACCTGTCCCTCTTCCCCTTGTATGTTTTTATTGTCACAAATTATCCCTGTTTATGCTGTGAGTTTTTGGCAATCCTACTGGTAATGTTATGACCTTATGTTCTTGGTTTCAGGTAGAATAACTCCCTTGAGTATTTCCTGCAATGGAGGTTTTCTAGTGATAAAATCCCTCAGTTTCTGTATGTCTGGAAATGCTCTTATTTCTTCTTTGTATTTAAAGGATAATTTTGCTGTATATAATATGTGTGGCTGGTAGTTTCTCTCTTCCAGATGTTTGAATATTTGGTTCCACTCTCTTCTGGCTGGTAGAGTTTCTGCTGAGAAGTCAGGTGAAATTCTGATGGGTTTTCCTTGATAGGTCACTTCCTTCTTTTCCCTGGATGCTTTGAGGATTTTTTCTTTGTCACTCTTTTTGACAGCTTCATTACCAAAGGCCTTGCAGAGGGCCTCTTTGGATTGAGGTAACTAGGTGTTGTTCTGTTTGCTTCCTAGATTCAAGGATCTAGTTCTTTCCATAGATTTGGGAAGTTCTCATCCATTATTTGTTTTAATAGACTCTCCATTCCATTCTCTCTTTCTTCTCCGCTATGCCTACGATTCTGATGTTATTTTTTTTTTATGGAACCAGAGAGGTCTCATAGGGCTATTTAATATTTCTTTATTGTCAGATCTTTCTCTTCTTCCTTATGCATCATTTCTTGATTCCTTTCTTCAATATCGCTAGTTCTTTCCTCTAACTGGTTGGTTCTGTTTTCTATGCTCATCAGAGCACTCTTAATTTCTTCATTTGCCTGCTTCATTTACAGGATTTCTGCTATATTCTTTTTTTTTAAAAATTAAATTTCTTTGGAGAAATGCTCATTTTGTTCATTGATTTGTTTTCTGAGTGAGCTGAAATTCCTCTCAGTATTTTCTCGCATCGCATCGAGTATTTTCAGAACTGCAGTATTGAAATCTCTGTCATTCAACTTGCATAATTCCATGTGTTTCAGGCTGTTTTCTGGGGATTTTTCATTTTCTTTCTGGTCATCGTTGTTCTCCTTTGTTTTCCCATTTATCTCTGAGGAGGTCTTTCTACTCTGTTCCAGTAGATGGCACTGAATTGCAAGATTTTTTTTTTTCCTCTGTGGCCTCAGTTTTGAGCCTCTGTGGCTTCCATAGGGCTGTAGGACCTCTGCTGCATGGAGTGAGGTTTGTTTTTCCTTCACAGTAATGGTGACCCCTGACCTCCACAGTTCCAGCCCAAGCACCCCTCCTGGGGTTCAGTCACAGAGGGAAACTGTGTTTCTACTGCAACAGCTCTTGGCCTACAGATAATACACTCCTGGAAACAACTCCAAGGGCAATAGGAGGTGAGATTTGGGAGTCTAATCAGTGGCAGGGCTCTGCGATCTACTTTATTTGTCTGAAAGCTGGCAGCCAGGCCCAGCCATGGGGAGTGACTCTGTAGGGAGGACGTTTGCTGACTAGCAGCTCATGCATGCAACTCATACCATTTACAATGCGCCCCCACGGTTCAGATACTCTCTCACTGTGTGCATGACCACACAATGCCGCTGCTCCAGTGGCTATTCCAACAGCCAGCCAATTGCTGGGTTAGTTCTCTGTTGGTCCAGACCAGCTGAGGGAAATGCCCGCAACTGCTGCTGTCAGTTCCCAGATGCACAGCAGACACACTGCTGTGCTGTAGTCATGTTTCGCTCTAACCCTTCTCTTGCCTCCCTGCTTATTCCAAGAAGCCCACCTTAGTTGTTCCAGTGTGCAGGTCTCTCAGGTGTGCATTTGTGTAGGGGCAGGGACTTCTTTGTTGAATTACAGGTGATTGTTTTGCTGAAATGTTAGTGGTAGAGGATAGACACACCCTTAAGCCACCATTCCTCTTAATTTCCTTTCAATGTGCATGAATCTGTGCACCGGGCCACTGGTATAATTATAATAAAATATAAGAAAATAGAGGTGACATCAGATTTATGGTGTCATGAGAGATTTTCTTGGCCTTTTCCCCTGAAATTTCAATAAGTTAACCAACTATAACTCAACAAAGAATTCCCTATTCAATATAGAGGCGTGCCTGAGAGACTCTCACATTAAAACATCTAAAAGTGGGCAACCAGGAATAAAAAGGGAGGAAAGAAGTGAGGAAAACTGAGACAGCCATAAACACAGTCCTGCAACTGGGAGCTCATGGCTCGGCCTAGAGAAGGGAGGAAACCTGGGGTAGCAAGCACTCCTTAAGCTGGGAGAAACAGAGTTGCAGTGGGCACTCCAGCAGGGTGAGCAGAGTGAACAGTGTATGAGGCAGCAGAGAAACCTAGATAAGGACTGAGCACAGGGGTCCTATGGCACAGCTGTCCACTGCCAGCGTATTGTGTTTCAGAGAAAGAAAAGGAGCCACAGAGCATTGCCACCCCTTGGACTTCTAAAACCTGCCTCCTGTTTCCCTTGGTGTCGGGTGGAGGAGCACATTATCTGTAATCCGTGACCTATTGCAGTAG